ATACTGAATTGATGTCTTCCCCTACTCCATGCCCGGAGGTCGGAGGTCGAAGATTCAATACTGCCCCCTACACCACCCGCTCCCCCCACCACCGCATCTACACAGACAGGATGGGAGCCAACTCTACAAGTCAGGAACCTCCCCAAGGCTCAGTGAGGAGCTTGAGGAAGAAAGAGGGGAGGGAAGAATGGAAGATCCAGGCATGTGACATAGAGCGGGTCTCCCAAGACTAAAGCTGGGGTTGGGGACAAAACTTCTAAAAAAGAAGAACAGTAGACTAAGGGTCACCCCTGCTCAGAGACCCACCCCCACCCAGGGTCCCTCTTCCCCAACTTTGCTGTTTTTCTTCCCATGCCCCCATCCTTGCAAACTGCTTCCCCTTTAAACCCCAATGCCACACACCATCACAGGGACGTAGGGGACAGGTCCTATAGAAGACAGAAATCAAATTGGTGACATCAAAGTGATAGGAAATAGGCTTAAGGAATCAGAGTCAGAGTTTAGAGGAAGAAAAATCCTGTTACCTTTACAGGATAATTAATCATGGGTATATTGCAGGAAAAGAACTGGTCTTTGAACTTCAACTGAAAGCTCTGAATAGGAGTTTTGAAAAATCTAACCCCTTTCTAACATGTTTCAAATTTACCCAATCTGCAGGTAAGAGTCAGAGATGCACCCCCAGAATACAGGTATCTAGAAACCCCAATACTTTGAAACTCTCACTATCTCAATGCCACCTCAGAGATTCTAACCAATACCCTCTAGATACAGAGATTACCAAAACCCAGGCTCTGGGACTGCAGACACTGCAGGAAACACGCCCACTGCAATCAGACCCTGAGGACCCCCAGAGAAGACATCTGTTGATACATATCATCATCATGGGAGGGACTGGTTCAGGCTGCAGCCACAGGGAGGCAGGTAAGACTTCAGGGGACACCTTCCGGGAGCGGGGAAGGACATGGGGAACTTAGCTTAGGAGCAACTCTGGAAATACACACACACAAATATTGTCTGGACTTAAGAAAGGATGATTCTGGGAAGCAGATGCAAGAGACAGAGAAACACAGTTGAGAAAGGGGAAAGATTTACTAGGATGAGCAATTCCACAGGGCTCAGATGGGGATCTCTTGTAGGTCCTGTTCCAACCACCAAAACCTATGTCTTTGCTCCCCAAATCTCCAACACCCCAGGAAGTAGAGGGGCCAAGAAAAGAGGAATGGGTGATAAGAGCTGGGGAAAGTCAGTAGGCACAGACTAGTGGTGATAAGATGGGGAATGGGGTGGGGAAGAGAGGATGGGGTGGAGAAGAAATAACAAGGATGGATCTAAGAGAAAAGGAGACAGGAATGATGGTAAATCTTTAGGGACAAGGGAATATACCAGAAGGGCCCAAATGGACATGGGGCAGAGAAAATGAGGTGGACCTCATAGGTACTAGGACAAGGGGGTCAAGAAGGAGGGTGCAAAGAGGTGGTAGAGATATAAGGGAGCTACCAGATAGAAGTGAGGGAGAAAGAGAATGGACACCAGAGAAGGGACTGATATAGGGGAAGGACAGAAGGGGGACTCATATAAGGAACGGACACCATATGGGGGGAAAGATATAGGTGATGGACACCAGAGGAGGGAGGGGGAATGGAAATAAGGATTGGAGGTGGGGGAGGGGGGTAAAAGTGGTGAAGTGAAGGAAGTGGATAAGACCCCAGGGATTACATTTCAATGGTCAAGGGCCTTGATGAGGGTCAGAGTGTGGGGCAGGGTCCTAACCCGCCCCCTACTCCCATCACTCAGTCTTACTTGTATTGCCCCCTCCACCCCCCCCAACAAACACACACTGAATTTGGCCCTCCCCCTGCCCTGGTCTCTCCTCCCCCAACCCATTCCCCATTCTCTCTATCCTCTCTTCCCTCCATCTGGACCCTCCATTCCTCTTCCCCCCTCCCCCCACTGCCTCCCTCTCTCTCCATCTGGCCCCTTCTTCTCTCCCTCCATCTCCTGTCTTTTTCTACCCACTACCATACTCTGAGCCCCCCCACCATATTCTTCCCCCCATCTTCTTGGCTTCTCTTTTCACCCCTATGTTTTCATTTTCTTCATTTTCCCCTCCTAGCCCCTCTCCTAAAACTCTGTCCTTCTATTTCCTTGATATTTTCCTCATCTCTCAGCTCCCACCTCCAAATTATTTCTGCAGCTCTTCCCCCAACCCTGTCCTTCTATCTTCCCACCCTTTCTGGCGATCTCTTTCCCCTTCATCATTTTCCCCTCAGCCCCCCTTCAAGGCCTGTTTCTTGGCCCCTCCGGCCCCTATCTATCCCTATTCTCTGACCTCCAATCCCTCCTTCCCCATTGCTCCCATCCCCGCCTTCCCGGTCCTCCTCTCCCCTTCCATTTCAGCTGCTCCCCTCCCCGGCCCCAGCTCTGCCCAGCCCCC